ATATCTAGATATATCAACTATATTAGACTTTGTGCACAGAAGAAACTTTGACAACTCCGCCGCTATTATTTTGAGTTATTCAGGTATGCATAAATGTATTCTTTTTTTATCACTTGCACCAATGATCATATGTCAGAGCAAAGCATATTGGACGTTACTGTAAAGAGGCGCTGTTAAAGCAGTAAAAATTGGCTTCCTCAAACCACATTTGCCATTACAGACCAATGCTAGTCAGCTATATATGGGTGATAATGAATAGAAGGTAGCAGGTTGTCCATTTTCGCTATCTATGACGTCTTTGGGCAGTCGCACCTCGCAGTCATGCCTACTGAGAAAGCAGAAAGCTTTTACTCATTGTGCTCTCAATTCCTGCATACACGGTGTGCGTTTCCAGAGTACAAAAGCACCTCTAACATTTTCCGAGTTAGGATGAAGGTATTACAGTGGTACCCACTTTATTGAATTCAGTATTTCCTGAATTGCCTCGAATTAACAAGGAACATGAGAACGAACTAGGTTTCGGTAGGTACTAAAATCTTTCTTAATGCTGGAAGCAATACCAGCTGCAAAAATTTTCATGAGAAAAAAATTCTATCTCTCCTTTTCAACAGTCTTGAGGAACCCTTCACAAAGGATGTCAACAATGAAATCTCCTTCTTGTCTATTCTTTTGTGATTCTGTGTCGTGAAATGATGCTGCTTCCTTAATCTGCCTGTACTACTAGAGCTTTGCATCCTGGAGCAGTATTCAGGTTGTACCACGGCGTCTCACTAGCACGTTGAATTCTTTCACAATATTTCTTTGCTTGCCACCAGCATGATCAATGGCCACGTTGAGCAGCTGAAACGATTGACTCTCACACCAAGTTGTTCTTAGGTGGGAAGGTTGTATATCCAGATCTATTGGAATTGGATGTATTATCACTAAGCATAGTCAAAAAACCGCAAATGAACGAGAAGAAAGAAGAAATTCGACAGTTGGACTCCTTTTGTCCATCGTTATACTCCTGAAACAATGGCCATTTTATTTCCTTATGAAATGTTAATAACTCGTACTGCGCTTCAAAATGTTGCAACTTGTAGTTTCAGTGCATGTTGAATTCAAGGAAATAGGATGTAAGCTATGGATCCTTCATCCCAACTCGGAACAACTGCTTTCAGGGCCACCTTAATGCTTTGAAAATGCACATATTTCGAGATGAGATATTTTCATTCATCCATCCAATCACCCACTCCGCTACCTTTCGGGTTCTATCCGCCCCTCTTGTGTGTAACTCTTTTCCGTACAGCCGGATAATTCTACTGTACGCTAAGGCAATCTAGGAAAGCCGAAACATTATTGAGGGAAAATATGCAGGCCACAGCCATTTTTTCTCATAGGTCATTGTTTGTTTTTTTTGATTTTCATTTTTTTTTCAACTTTCGACTTTTCTGGTTCTTCTAACTCAACAAGTATTTCTATTGAATAATTCAACAATTGACCATGAACCATGTCGTATTAGTAAAAGTATGGTACTTCAAATTTTCAGTCTTATTCTTGAGCGTCATGTTTCTCACTCTACCACTATCAAGATTATTCAAACTGTACACTCATGCGTTCAGTTTATTGATATTTGCTTTTTATTACTATAAGTAGAGAAAAATACAAAAGTTCTTCTGTAAAGCAGAGGTTTAGAATTCGCTGGACACTTAGGGCCCTCCATTTACAAAGAAAGAAAAAAAAACTTAGAATTCGTTCAAAAAAAAAAGAAAATATTATACATCTTGAATGTTTGATCGTACCTAAAATTAGCTTTTCCAAAGGAAATCCACACATTCGAGCAACGATTGGAAGAGTGAATACAGTGA